TAAGTGTCAAGCTTGACGTGCTCTTGACCTTGTACCAATATCTATCGAAAATGAATTCGGGTTCAGACAATACAAATTTAATGTCCTCTGGAGGTGCAACTAAACCCGGGACTGGATGCGACTCGATTTTAATTATTTTTGACAAACATCCAGTCCCGGTATCACATGATACTCGCATTTGGACGCATTCGGGTTCCGTTGCAACTTTAAACCGACCCTAAGTTTAAATGCTACAAACCAAAATAATTTTAACATTCTGTACATTGACCTTTATGATTCTGTACATTGACCTTTATGATTCTGTACATTGACCTTTATGATTCTGTATAATACTTTTGATCGGATTTTTTCAACATGAGTGTGATTTCGGTACAGATACAGAGAGAACTGAATGAGCACTTCTTTGACTCGTAATGAGACTGACAACTACAGCGGTCTTTTTATGTAATCAATTAATTTCATTGTGTATCCAGGTTCTTTATTATATTTCTATTTATGAGGATCTATTTTAGAACCAGTAGAGCTCCATGTGAAAGTTCAGGGAAGTACTGCCACCTTACCTATTTCTACCGCCAATCAGTAATGTGAGCATTACTGCGTTCTTGTTTTGAAGGGTAAGGGTGCTGGCGAAATTACTGGCACGTGGTCACTTGTCAACGTCAGTGCCCCTCAGATCTTTGCGATTTAAAGCTCTGAATGACACTGCAACTGTTATGGCGTGTAGTTTATCAGGCTCACGATTTGTTCTTCCCGTCACTCGATATTATAAAAATAATCTATAATTGGCTATCAATTGTTATAATTTAAATTAGTTTCAAGCTGTTTTCCTTTTAGATAAATAAATAAATCAAACTAGGTACACCTTACCTATACATATTTTATAAACTATACCCTACTACGCTCAGATTATAAAACATTGTAATCTGAGACCCTACGGATATCTAATCGACGATTCACATAGCGATATTCAAATTTGAAGCCATGTCAAAGAACAAATAAGTAACGAGAACGGACACTCTCCGCCCCTCCCTAGCTTTAAATACCGCACCACACCCCGCACATTGACGGTCACATTGACTGAACGAGAACAAGGCTGTCGGCGAACAGTTTTCGCGCTAAGACGGCTTTGATATTTTCATGATTCTTTTTTTGTTGGAAAGAGGGTACCTCCACAGTGGTCCCATTTAATTTTGAAAATCATCCACCTCTAAGGGTGGCTGTTCACGCATGAAGATTCATTTTTATAAATAGCGCCTAAGTTTTAGTATAATGACCAATTATTTTAATGGTTGATTTTGCTATTCTTTATTCAAGCCGTTTTTCTCTCTCAATCATATCTATGCTCTCAATATACTTTGAGTAGTAAGAACCTATTTTTATTATCTCCTGTGTAGGAATTCTGTAAGCCCCATTCAGGCAGCTTATGTGTGACGTCAGACATAGGGCCGTTAGATAATGGATTAAGAACAATTCAATGAGTTGTGAAGACATCGTGCGCCTGGTGGTAAGTGACACGCCTGTCCATGTCACTCCACTGTTCCAATGTCACTCAGAGCTTTTAATCGTAAAGGGGCACAGCCACGAGTGCATCGTCACCCTGAGACATAAACTGGCAGTACTTCCCTGGGCCAACTCCTTCACATTATTCAATATTGCTAAATACTTACGTCTCTCTGCACAATGTCCCAAAGTTTGGTGATTTCGTAATTTTTACCTATTCCATACAAATCCATGGTCTCATTAAGCTGATGCGTGACGAGAGCAATCGTTTTGCCCTTCAACGCGTATCCAGCTATGCATGCGGACAATTGGAACACGAAGATTAGCATCATGGCTCCCGCGAACTACAAAATAAAAAAGTAAAAATATGTTATTGGAGATAATTACAATCCATATTTCAAATTATATTATTATCATATTATATTTAAAATTAAAATAATTAAAACTGAATTTAAAAACTATTAATAATTGAATTGACTAAAATCTACAGATGGTTAGTAACAAACATACTTATGATTAAGTGTTACTAATGACATGCAGTGACATGCTCGGTTTATGTACGGACAGTCGAACCTGTCCGCTATCATGGATAGGATGATGTTGGAGCCGGCCCTGCTCACCAGTACCGATGCGCGTATGCGCATGATTGTGTAGGGGCAGTCGACTTGCGCCGCTGCGAACATGCCCGAGGTGCTGCAGTACCGGGGCAGCCCCATCAACACCCTAAATGCATTATTGTATTGGACACGGAGGGCCCCATACGACTTTTGAGAGTACGTCTCCCACAGGTTACACGTGCAGAAAGATGTACAGAAAACTCTGAAAATTGTAAGTTTAACTGCCTGAGAACTACAAGAAAACCTGCGGGCGATCATGTGTTCCGCTCAATCTCTATGTCAGCATTGTCCTTGAGATCGCTAGTGACCAGATGACCGAGATATTTAAACTGCTCGACTGACTCTATCAAGACGATCACCGTTTAATATAATAAATAGGTGGAAAATTCAACAAGTTTTTTTGCTTGACCCCAAACGCCATGTGCAAGACTCTTTTTGTGTTATACATTAGTCGTGCTTATCCGCATATGTAAGATTGTTAACAGCTACCCCGTCGATGTGGCAGCTCACAAGTCTACCGCTGAGCTCGACTATCAACTCGTTCATATACAAGGTAAATAAAGAGGGCGAGGTTAGCCCTGCCTGTCTCACCCCGCATTGCAACCTGTATGGTTCTGATAGCACACGCACACAAATTCAGTGGCGTGGCTTTTTGAGCCTCTATGGCGCTGTAAACGCGCGTTCGTGAAACTGCAGCCCTGGAATCTCTCATACACTTCAACTGTTTCGTTTTTTAAATGTCTTAATTTTTTTTACAGGTACTTATGCGATTACTCATATTTTAACGAAGCCACTGATAAGCAAAAAAAACCGATGATAAAATGATAAAGTATTGATATAGGCTTCGTTTGCACAGCCAATATTAGTCATGGACAGTTTAGTGGGAAATCGATTCTATCTACCAAAGTTCCTTGTAATTATATCTAGCGCGATTAATTTGCTACTTACTAGTTTTTATTGTAGTTGATATAATTTTTATTTTTATTGTATCGCGATGCTCACCGTACCGAACTGGCTACGAGAAACCCGTGGGTCACAGGTTAATCCGTGGCCGAACGGTTACCATTCTGGTCTGCCACACAGAGGGCCCAGGTTCGATTTACGTGGCCTACATTTAGTATTGGGTGTAATTTGTGGTTATTTATGTGTGTGTCCATGGTACCCGCGACACAGGGTTTTCCTAGTGCGGGGCTATGAATACATGCAAAACAGGTTCCCGATTCTATGAACACTTACCCACAATATGAAAAGTGTTACAAAGAACGAAATGCTTTATACCCATATAAAACTCATGTTATTGCATAGTAAATTTTACAGTGTAGAGATGTAATATCTAATATTAGAGATCTAATATCTTTCGAAGAAATTGTAACTTTCTTTTCATTTGACGTGGTAGCATTTCTACAACAGTGCGGTTGAAAGTAATATTTTTGACGACCTCGATGGTCGAGTGGCTTGCACACCGGCTTTCATAGTGTCGCTATCTGTGAGGTCCTCAGTTCGATTCCCGGCCGAAACAACGTAGAAAAAACGAACTTTTTTATTTATTTATTTATTTATTTATACATATATACAATTTCACAGCATTACAGTTATTTTACCAAGGCACTGTGAAATCCATAAAATTGAAAACAGACATATTTTTTATTAGTTCACAGAAGACAGACGTTCATCCATCCTCTCACAAAACCTCAAACATTTATCACACACAACCGCCCATCTACTAGCAAAAACATCTCAGTCAGGTGCCGATACGAGAAGCTCGTTTACGTAAAGCAAAGCGCGAATAAGCGGCGATTTTATATTTTTATAACTTTTCTATATTATCTCGGATGTGGATGTTTGTGATACCGTCGTTGTTTCAGATTTCCATAACACAAGCGATAACCAACGTGGGATCAGAGCAACGTGTGTGACGTTGTCTAATATTTATTCGTTAATTTATAATAATGTTTACATAGTTCTTTATTAGCACCATTTTATGTTTTAGTCCGTATTTCTCTCTAAGACTTAATTATTTTTACAACGTAATTTATTATGCTTATTCTTAACAAATGTTCTTTTGTTTCATTAAGTAAATTAGTCTAGTATATCCAATTATGATTACAAGAGATCGGAATAGGTGGACTATATATACATAAACTTCCTCTGATTTCCTTGAATTGTTGTATTGTTTTTTGTCCTATTTTTTGTTATGTATGTAGAAACTACAAAACAAACTCCTTGGATTCAGTTGAAAAGCGTGACCGAGGCTTATAGGTGACTCGGATTCGGTAGAGGCGAAGCTGCAGAGCTTTGAACACTGCGGTAAAGTTTTTTTTGACGCTATGTGACGTAATGGTAACCTACACGCCTGTCCATAACAGTTGCAGTGCCACTCAGAGCAAAGTCAAATAAAACGTCACTTTTTAAGCTACTGCTCGTTCACTACGCTGACATCCCCGAGAAGAACGAGCAAGAAACTCTAGGGATTGTTCTCATTCAAATAAACTTAAATGCTATGGACATACACTTTGAATCATAATTGTGTGGAATCTAGACTCATGTTATCTTTCCATAAATCTTTATATAACACATACTCTTCATTTTGGAACCGGAGAGCTATAGAGCTTTAAAACACAAAGATCTGAGGGGCACTGGTACTACGCCTGTCACTCAGAGACATAAGTTGATAAGCCTCATGTGCCTGTAATTTCGCCAAGTACCCTTACCCTTTAAAATCACATTACTGCTTGGTGGCAGAAATAGGTAACGTGGCAATACTACTGCTGCTACAAAAAAGTTGCTTGCTTATCGATATTCTACAAGATATATCACGGAGAGTATGCGACGGAATTGCATGATTTCATTTTGCCTTCCCCTTTTCATCATCGATGGACTTAACGGAGGCTGAGGTACCACCCCTACTTTGTGGATATTCCTAGGATTCGCTCGAGGCGTTTCGCTTCTACATTTATATGGGAAGCGGCTATGGAGAGAATTTCCCTGCCTGCAGACTTGTTCCCTGAACGTCATAACTTGGACCTTTTCAAGACGAAAGTGAATAGGCATTATTTAGGTGTGCATGCTACATTGTCATCGTCACTTTCCATCAGGTGAGAAGGAGGTCAAATGCGCACTAAAATTTGGGTAAAAAATTTTTTTCAGGTAGAAGAAAAAAATTGTAAATAAAATTTTTTTGTCGAGTTACTTTTGTAGTGAGTTTTCGCGATTGTAGCACATAAGAAATGTAACTATTTTCCGGGCTTAAAGCGCGTATGTTTGTTTTTTCAAACAAACCCCCGTTTTGGACTCTTTACAGAAACCTTGGTTACTGCTA